AAGCCAACACCCTGAGTAAGTACAAAGAATGGCAGCAACAACAAAATCGTATTTATAGGAAGCTCTGCTGGGGGGATTCTAATTTAATGATGATTTCTTTTTTACATCATTGCTTAGGCTGGCCTCGGTGGTGACTGCTCAGGTGATTTTCTCTAGTGATCTCAGCATGTCCTGCTGTGCAAAAACCTCCATTCATTCTTGATTTTCCTCATTTCTGAAATTTTGTATTTGTAATTCTATTTACTCTGCTGCTTTGCAGATTTGTATGACTTTTTCCAAATTCAACTCACAATTTTTATCAGATGCTAATATATCTTACCATTACTTCAGGTCACCTCTAAGAATGTGATCCCATGAATTACAGAAAATTAAACTTCCGGCCTTCTTCAAGGAAATAAAATTTTCTTCAAACTACTCAAGTAGCTTCCAGTATTCATGAATCCAGAGTTTTACTTTAAAGCAAGCATAAAATATAAATACTAGATAAAATCTGTGGTCCAGGAAGCTTTTACACTAATTTGACATATGCAAAAACAAAGGGTGAAAGAAGCGGCTATGTAGTTCCCAAAACATAGATTAGCTGTTGATTTAAACTTTTATATTTTGTATTGTCTGCTATTTCAAAACATGTCTACCAACACTGAAAAATTATTTTTATTGTTTTCCTTTTCTGATGATGATTCCTTTTTCTTGACTGATACGTACTTTACAGACAAAAAGAGTCCCAAGGAGGGATTTTATTGTTCTCAATGCAGCACATGCTTTATTCAGTGGAGTTTTCAGAATTAAGAAAATATGCATATCCAGTATTTCAATTATCTCTCTGCAGGGCTGTCCTGGGTTCAGTAGTAGCAGTCATGTTTCTCTTTCTTGGTAGCTTGTGCAGTGCAGTGTTTTGACTTTCGGCTCGGGAACAGAGCTGGTAACAATGATGTTTTGGTTTGGCCAAGGACTTTGTGAGCCTCATGCTCTGCCAGGGAGGAGGGGAAGCCAGGAGGAAGCAGAGACAGGACACCTGACCCAAACTGACCAAAGAGGTATTCCATACCACAGCACGTCATGCCCAGGATGTAACTGGGAGTTAGCCGGAAGGGCTGGGAGACTGCAGGGTTGGAGGAGGTATCGGTCAGAGCTTGGTTGGGCTGAGGGGGGTGAGTTATCGGTGGGCTGGTGGTGAGGTGTTGTATTCTCTTCCCTTGTTATTTCCTTTATCATTGTTATTATTGGTAGTAGCAGTAGTGATTTGTGTTATACCTTAGTTACTAAACTGTTCTTATCTCAACCCGTGGGAGTTGCATTCTTTTCGATTCTCCTCTCCGTCCCTCCGGGAGTAGGGGGAGGGAAAGAAGGGGGGTGAGTGAGTGAACAAGTTACCTGACTGGGGTTAAACCACGACAAGGGCCTAAGGTGGTCATGTGCTCTCCACCCATATGTCCCCCCTCAAATATTATTTCTGGTTGCCCTCACCGTCATCTGTAGTTGTGGGGAAAAAAAAAAAAGTATTATGGACTATTCAAGCCCACTTCAGCCTCTGTAAAAGCAGTCAATCCTTGTACATTCAATATCCCTTGTATAAGCCCTATACAGGACATGCTTCCACAGAGCAAGACATTTGCTGGGGGGGGGGGGGGGGGGGTGCCAACATAAAGCAACTGTTCATATTTAACCTCGATGTAACATACCTTATTCATAAGATATTTCACTCATGGGTCCATATTTTTAATCAATGGAGAAAGATGAAGAGTGAAACTGAGTATCATATATGGAGGAAGGCAGAGGTCATCAAACCTCCATGTCATCTTGAAGAGCCAGTAGACATGTCAGCAATGTGGAATGCTCAACAGTGCAATACAGGGTTGATGTCCAAGGAACGCTTTACTATTTTCATGGATAGGATCACTGGTTTTATGAGCACTTAATTGTCTTGTTGACAGATCACCATCATTCTGCAAGCCTATTCGGTATCTGTCCAAAATTCAGATCGAAGCCCTAACAGGTTCTGGCTATTTTTCATGAGGATGAAAAAACTGTGTGAGGGCTCTACATGCTCTGATGTTTTACGATAGTTGCCAAAGTGTAAAATGCACTGAGTCTATTAAAGACATCAGACTATATTTGGGGAAACTATCTGATAAACTGAGGAAAAAGTCCATTTAATTTTATAGTTAGGTTAAACAATATGAGTGCTTTGTTTTTCCTGTGCTGCACTTACTAATGGAATCACCTCTACCAAATAAAACTAAGTTATTTAATTGCTTAATAATTTGTTATGTTCAGTTAATGTAGTAATAATTTTAGTCTACCAATTTTCTGAATAGTATTTTGCTGCTTTTGTAATATTTGCATAGAAAATCAATGCAGTAAATTATCAAGATAATTATGAAATAATTTCTTTTTCTTAGGGAAGTGTATAAAGATTAAAATTACTGTCAGAAAAGACTGAAGTTAGTAACTCTTTATTACTTTTATAATAGAAAACAAAGAAACAAACAAAACTGATCAAGAGGCCAGAATAATTCTTGTATGTGTGGTACAGGATGTATGTAGCACTGAAAGAGTAATAAACAGCGTCAGAGAATAAAAAGTCCCTTGCATTTTTGAACAGATGAAAGCAAAAAATACAGAAAACCAATCTACTGTCTTACACTGTAAAATACTTGTGCAGGTTTTTATTGAACTTTGAGTTTTGTAATTAATTTAAATATGAGTGATCAAAAAGACAGATAGTATCTCAATTTGATTTATTGTAGCTACAGCATTATGGAAAAAGAATGCATTATATTTTATAATTAAGTACTCAAATATTTAACTCTAGTGGGTCTTAACTAATTTATATTTTTCAGACACCATTGAAGTGCCCTTTTATTGTACTAGAGAATTTGCAATGAGCATTTCTCAAGGGACCCAGCCCTGTAATTGGCTGCTTCATCTGTGTAAAAACCAACTGGGTTTCTTTGAATTTGCATGGGTGAATGCAAATCTGCTCAAAGGGCAAGAAGCTACATTTACAGATGCCTACTTAGTCGCCTGCTGTTACTGTGTTTGTTTCCTGCCTGTTACTGAAGTGTTGGGGATAGATATGTCAGCATTTCAGGGTATAAGCAATCAGGTTGACAATGGCTGCTTTCAGCACCTCTAAAAACCAAACCCTTTATAACACAGGTTCTTAAAATCCTGAATTTGATAAGACTGTAGAAATGATTATGGATACATGAGAAGGAAATAAATAACAACAGGAGAAAGGAAAAACTGCATTACTCTTGTACAGAGACAAGAGACAGGCTAAGTAATATTTATAAAACTAAAAGAAAACATGAGCAGAGAGCCTTAGTCCCATTTACATGCACACCCTTTTACTTTATTATAGCAGTGCTAATAAAATGTTCATATAGTTATGTAAAATTAATTTGAGATGTTATTAATCTCTTCTTTTAGAAAATATTCTCAAATAGTGTTATTAAGCCAAAATTATTATCATTTCATACAGCTTTGGGTTCTTCTGGGTTCTTAGATACAGCTGTATCATTTCGTTCAGCTTTGGGTTCTTAGTCCTGAAGCTTCAGTTTAAGGCAATTACAGTCATCTGCATATAGACCTTCTTTAAATGCCATTTGATTAGGATTCTTCATATGCTTCTTGGGGATTATTATATCTGGATAATACATATATGCGATTTCCAGACCAGTTTAGTTTTTTAGAACACATTTTCTTGCTTCTTCAATGAAAAGGTATTTAAAAAAAAAAAGTTATTAGAGAAAATCAAGTGGAAGAAATTATATCAAATTAGAGATAAAATGGATAGCATCAGTAGGGCAAAGTTTTTGTAAGCATGAAATGAGTAAATCTATAAATGAGTAAAGCTGTTCAGGAAATATGACGTTTCATCGCATATTTCTGGCCATAAAGAGGTATCAGATTTTTAGTTGCAAAAGTTAACGGATAAAATAGGGTTATTGCTTATTTCTTGTCAGATGTAAATGACTAGTCCAGATGTAGATGTAGATATCATCATATGACCAGATGAATTTTGGACGTATATGAAAGATAAATTTGTAAGGGGAAAAAATTGAAGCTCTTATGAGAATTAACAGTATTACAAAGCTGAAGAAATTAATGACAGAAGTGAATATATCAAATTATGTCAGTGTAGGTTAGGGCATTACATGTATCTGTAAAAACTATCAGCAATCATAAATTTTTCTTCCTTTTTTAAAATAAATTTTTAGTTTACATTTTCTGCTTGGAGATATGATTAACATTCCCCTCACTAAATAATCACATGCTCATCAATAAAGTTAACAGTATCTGATATAAGCATAGTTATGCTTACAAGTGTATTATGTTTATTTCTGTACCCATATGTTTTTTAGTGTGCACTACTTGAATTAACAGACTCTCATTCTCCAACTGTTTCTTCTTCAAAAGCGACAGCTATACTCTGTTGATTCTAACTTTATGGCACTTTCAAGCAGCTTCTTCTGCTATAGTTGACTTCTTTTGACATCAAACCTCTAACACTCCCAGTGCATCCTCACAAACTACCGGGAACAAATATGCAACATGTTCCTCAGCTTGAAAACTTTAAAGTTGACAGCTGAAATGTCAGTGACTTTTTACAGACACCTATATTTATTAATGCTTCAGAGAACATATTCTCTCTAAAAAAAAAAAAGGCACATCTTTAATGACAATAAATAACATTTTATTTTGATGTTGACATGCTATTATTTATAACTGTGCTCACATTTTTTCAGAGATTCTATGGTCTTCACTTCATCTTAAAATTCACTAATAAATAGATATCTCCATGAGTACTCCTTCTAAAATTAATTAGAAAATTAGAGTGCAATTAAAGTTGGGAAAAACAACAGAAATTAGATACTAAACAAGTTCTTAGACATACACTAAACAAATTCTTAGACATATTTGTATTTCTTCCTAAGTAACAGTGCTTTGGAGTTGTATTATTCCTTAACTTATTGTTACAAATCTCTTGAAGAAGTAGCTTTGCTTATTTTATATATGATACTGTTGTTCATTATCTGTGTACATCCAAACCTATTAAAATAAAGTGGAGGATATTAAGTTTCACAAATATATCTGCTTTAAGTAGAAAGCCCTTAGCTCACTAAAGATCTGATTTTATGTCATATCATAATCCAGTGAATGACCTCCAGTTCCACAGATTCTTATAGGCCTTGAACAGGATCAGCATATTTTAAGAGTTTCCCAGGTCCTTACAGGATTGAGCCAGGAGTAAAAAAACTCATAAGAGACAAGTAAAGAATTATTGGCAGTTTCACAGACCCAACTTCTGAAAACAATACAAGAAAACCATGTATCTACAGTGCTCAAAAGCCCTTTGCATGGAATGAACTCTAAGAAATAGATTACAAAGCCAGTAACAGCCTAGCACATGAACCACTGTGTCTAACTCTGTTCTAAAGCAGGGTGAAGCTACTCTTGATAATCCTTTCTTCAGACTTCTGCAAAAAAGACAGGAACTTTAGTAAATCATCTGACTTCTTAAATTAAACAATCAAAGGTAGGAATTGCAAGGCAGCTCATACAGACCCATAGGACTGACCAAAGTAGAAAACTACAATTTTGAAGACAGAACCCTTGGCAGCATCTACACCAGCTAAGACACAGGCTGAAGGGCCAGACTCCTTTCATCTATACTGCTAAACATATTGCTCACTTTATGGGTTGGCTTGAAGCATTGATAGTTCCTGTAAATACACCATTTATTTATTTATATAAGTTGTTAATAAATATGCATTTTCTTAATCAGCCATGTACTTGAGCTTCTAGACCAGTAAAGAACAATAAGGTATAGAAGGAAGTTTGCTTGTTTCTAAAATTAATTGCTATATGCCATAATATTGTATCATACTTCTGATTCCCTGCGAAATTGGCAGCTATCATCAGCTTGCAGTTTACTTGGTTAGCTCATTTGCAGTAAAACCTGAGACAATGGATGCTTTCACAATCTCTATACTTACATGCCAATACAAGTTTCAGTAGTGTTTAACACTGCTAAACATTGCTATTATACTTCAGAAAATACAAAATTGAGTTTCAGCTGTTACCAGGTTTTCATATTGAGGGAGCAACAGTTATCTGTACTTATCAAAACATGGAATTTTTTAATGAATAACAATAAATTGTTCTGAACAAAACTAAAATACAGCAACAGCTGGGTTACCTCATTAGAAATTTTTCTTAAATAATAGCTGAAGCATTGACATAGGATTTTGAAACACAGAGTAAGAAGTTAAGTTTAGAAATCTTTGCGTTAGTTTCCCACATTCCTGATGAAAATTTGTCCCTCTAGTAAACTGCAAAAAGATAAGTGATATCATTATACTAAAGGTAACATTCATTAAACCCAGGAAGGAGGACATTAAAAGGCCAATTCATCTCCAGTGTTCTACCTTTTACTGTGTGTAACCAATTGTCAAAATATTTAATGGTTGCATTTTTTATAAATTGTCAAACAACTTTGGTTCCTATCATACACTAAATACAGACTGTGTTCAGGATGGGCTTCATACAAAACACTGTTTTCAACTTTATGGTGTGATTAAGAAGGTGCAAACCCTGTCAGTCTTATCAAAACAGTGGAAGTTGAATCCATACAATTTTTTCTACACTTCTACAAATACATAATTACATCTATTCATATGAAAGGAAGGGGTGTGCCTTTTTAGATATAATAGCATATATCAATAGCAATTATCCCTTACCAAAACATTTTATCATGAAACAAATTTCTATGATAAAATAACTGTTTCTGAAGCTCCTTTACTCTGAAACATGACTTGCAGAATACAGCCAGCCACATGAATTTCTTCACTGAGATTGTTTAAATTATGCTAGTAACTAGTTTATACTTGCGGTATATGCATATTCAGCAGTGCCATAGAATTCTGTTTTGTCTCACTGATTGGATGGCTAGAATTTTCATAAATAAAGGCTGGGGAAATCAAAGAGTTCTGAAGATAGACACGTAGAATGGCATTCATGAGGCCACAAATATAGACATCGTCAGTACAGATATTTTCATGTTAGCTAGTTGTCAAGACTTTTTCACAGTGAGTGGAGTAAAATTGGCACTTTCACAGCATGAGTCATCTCATCCTAAAATAGATGATTAAAATAGGTCAGATGAATCATTGGCTATTGCTTTCTATTGACCTTGAAGAGAGCATTGTGTTACTAGCTAGTCTGTATACACATATAAACCACAGACCTATGAAGCTGGGTGAGAGGGACATAACCCAGTTTATCTTTGGAAACAATATTTTCACAACCAGATTTACAAGCATGTATGAGAATAATAGACTAATATTTCCTAATGGGGAAGAATATTTGCATCCTATATGGAAAATAAGCTGAAAGACAGTACGTGTGATTTAAAGGGATGCCCTATGTCTCTATGTAAAGTATTTGGATATAGTAGTATCCTCCCGGCTCTAGAAAATGCATACGCTCTTTGAAATATTATCATAGTTCTTCAGTACAGCATATCCATATATGAAGACCTTGATATCATACAGTAAATGGCTGATTCATTTGAGCAAAACAAAGACTTCAAATACTTTTGAATTAATTTTGAAAGATTCTGATTAGATGACAAATAGCTTTGCAGTAAATTGCAAATTCTCCCACTAAAATTAAAATAAGAAACGTGCACATGTAGTGAGGTTTTGAATGAGAAAAGTTATAACTGAGCCTTTAAATTACAACTACACACCGCATACACAGAATACTTTAACACCTTCAAGCATCTTCTTCCACTGATTTATTCTTGTGTGGACACCCACAAGGGCATTTCCTTGAAATCATATACTTTATTGTTAACATTTGCTGCTTTGCTAGAAGTGAAGACCAAACTATCTCAAATCTGTTTGACTACAAGATATCTCCCCACTTCAGATTTAAATGAGACTGTACTAAATCTGGTGTTCAAAGAAAATCTGCTTCTTGCTTTTTAAGTCAAAGGGAGTTAAATCCACTCATTACCTTTGAAATGCACTCCTAACAGTCTAAAAATGGATTGAGGCATGCAGTGCTATCAATTCCTCAGTGATCTTTATTTCCAAAAAATATGTAAGTATGGTAAATTTGCCAAGTTTTGTAAGACTGTGTACACATTCAAGAGATTTTTTATTTTAATTTTTCAAATACTCAGGGAAAGGTCTTACCAGAAATGAACTTTTAGGGTACAAAACTGTTTACAAATTTGGATGAAATCTGGCAAATAACTGTGAGCTTGGAAACATTTAATCTCCATATTTTTCTAAAAAAAAAAAAAAGAGCAAATTATTTTCAAATTCTTAGAAATTATAAAATCAGATAAAAAATGAGTTAAAAGAAAATAACCTAACCTATTTCTCAAAACTCTTGTTACAGTTATTGGTAGATTATCCTAAATCCTATCTAGTCAGGTGTTTTGCTAACACAGGCCAAATAAAGTCAAGCATAACAGGCAGATATAGCGATCAGGACCTATATTTCAGCATACAAACAATATTGTACTTGTCTCTCACCTTCTCCTCATACTGGCAGTCTCTTTGTTCCCTATATGTACAGCTTCTCTTGTACTGCACAGTGTACTTTGTGAATATTGCAACGACTAGAGTCAGAACAATGAGAAAGTAATTCTTGTATTTGTCTTTAAAAGGTACCTGTAATGTATATGGCTGTATTTGTCCACTTTGTCCTAAGCTGAATTTCAATGTTACAAACTCACCAATTTTTTAGTGTATTCATACAAAGACTATTTGGTCAAAATACAGCATCAGTATGCTGTTTTTCTTTTAGGAAACGTACTTTTTCCTTCCAGTTATAAATATTTCACCTTAGTCTCAGAAGCCTTCCTTTATTTCATATGGGTTAATGTGTGTTTTATTAATTCTTCCCCTCGATCTACTGATGTCAATAGCAGAACACATCACACATTTAGCTTCCATTAAAATCAAGGATGATCAAGTAATGTGAAGGAAATTCAGTGAGAACTACATCTGTGAGAACAGCTAGATGCATGTAGTGGCACTTCTTTCCAATTATAAGAACAAAACAAATAGGAAGGCTTTGTTGGCAAAAGTAAACTTCATGATTAAGAACTCTTTTGGTTGTTTGTTTTTTTTTAAGAAATTGCTAAGTATTCTTAAAAAAATGCATGAAAATAAAACATGAATTATTTTTTAAAGGAAAAAAAGGTTTTTACAAATGCTGTTTATTAATAAGTGTGACTGCCAGCTGTTTTTCTCTAGAATAAATATTTTTATTCATGGTTATTTGGAGAGGGGACTTTATCCACATGTTAGCTTCCTGTGATTTTCTTTTCTTTTTTTTTTTTTTCCTTATAAAAATATGTAATAGGTCTTGAGACGTGGAGGTTTTTTTCATCTTTTAATAGAAAAAACAGCTAGGAATACCATTTGGAATTTTTACTTTGCTCATCCTTACTGTTTTTTTTTAATAAGGAGAAGTAAAAAAATGGAGAATATAAGGGAAAAAAAAATTATTTACATATATGCTTAAAAAAAATTACGTCCTTGTAATATCAAAAATTATTGAGGTGTTTCTCCTTTTTCCTATTTCTATTTCTTATTTACTTGCTTCCAACATTTTCCAATGAGAAAGTCTAAGCAACCAAATTTTTTTTGCCATATTCTATTTAACTTTTAAAACTTTCATTTCCTTATTGGAAATTAAACCAAGAATAGGAAAATTAAAAAATAAAAAAAAAAAAAGGAAGAAAGAAAAGGAACAGTACCACAGTAAAGGCTAAATATTGAAAGGTAGGGTGAGTAGGCCACTATTTAATTTTCTCACAAGATGTTTTTGTCTTTAAGTGATCTCATAGGGTTTCATAACCCTGGTCTGGATACTGGAGAATAATATTTATAGCTCTACAATATCAACAAATAATACATTAAATCAATTTATTTGCAAATTCTACTTCCCTTTAAAAATAATATTCATTACCAATTTTGAACAACTGTCTGTGGCAGTCTAAACATGTAGTGTGTATGTAGCAGAAGGAGGATTGTCTGGAGAAACTGAAAGTAAACACTTTCATCACACCACTAATGCAAATGCATGTAACATAAAAATAAGAAGGATCATTTTCTCTTATTCATATTCATCTTGAAGTGAAACTGCAACTGAATATATGAATCTTTTTTTAACACCTTCTGAAGTACCAACAGAACCTAGGAGATTCATCATGAAAGTTGTTCATTCAGGATGGCATTTTTAAGGTACACAAGGACCCCTGTTTCATCCTAGTTCTCCTTCTAAATTAAAAGTATTTTGAGAATAACAAAACAGATTGCTTCTTGTGCTATGAAACAAGTGGCTGCTCTCAGGCTGCCATAACATACTATTGGCACAATTAAAACTTTTGCATGGATAAGGATCTTGCGCAATATTCTCTAGATGAACTGCCATCACCTTTGAAGAAAAGGCTGTAGCAAGTCCTTTTCGTTGTTCCCCACAGATAGACGGAGACTGTTTATAGGTTTACATGTGAATTGTTAAGAAGTTGTTGTATCAGCTTCTACTAAAGTAATATTAGCAATTAACATGTGGTTTTAAAAATCACTCTTTAAGGAAGGAGAAAAAAAAAGAAAAGCTAAGGATGATTTAGAGCTATGTCACATCAATTGGCCTATGATTCTGAACATAGCAGCAAATTCAGGTATACTCAAAGACTCTATTTCCATGAGGATGCCTTTCCTAGCAGAAACTACTGTCCAGTGACCTGTCCTGTTACTTTTCTGGTGTTTCTGGTGTTTTTGCCTCTTTGCCTGACAACAACTTTTGACATGACCATTTTGATTGCATATCCACTGCTAGATTTTTTACACCTGAAACTGCTTCCATACCTATTTATTGGTTAAGTAGAGACTTGCTGAACATCTTTACCTGTAGGTAATGCCTACAATGTAATAAGAGGTGAGATGCAGGATGCTGGAACACTCTACATAGTGGCAGCTTACACAGGACAGAAACAGTAGGTGTAATGAAGGTGTAAACAAGGTGTATTGTAGTAACAAATTTCCAAAGTCTAGCAGGAAACCTAGATTAAGGTTACTAAGGTGTGCCTAATAACTTCAAGGTTGACTTCATGGCTACTGTCATCCCTGCAGGTTACATGAAAGGCCATGGGAATGAATGACTATAATCTACCTAACATCCCACGTAGTTTTAGTTTGATAGATTTCAGATAACCCACAATCCTTTGCAACATGTGCATAAAATGCACTATGTGCCCACTTTGCTGTTTAACTGTCAGACAGCATAAGTGTTGATCCATTCTTTAACAGAGTGAAAATATCTCAGGTATATGGTGTTCCATAGATTTATTAGCCTGCCATCTGAAATCTAACCTGCATTTATAGTATTTATTTACTTCCAGAAGTGAATCATTTTCCATTTTATTCTGTTTAGTATTCCTTTTCCAGGCTCTCATCCAGCTCCTCTTAAATGATCAATGTCAATGGCGATTATGCTTAAATATTCCTTTTAAGACAGGAGATACCATCCCACATACTTTCTTAATAGGCTTGCATAACAATCCAGACTACAATGCCAGATCCCTTTCCTTAGAGAGTCACCACAACTTCAGCCCATGACTATGCACATTTCTTCTTCTTTCAGTTTCTTCTCTTGCTCATTAGGTCTGTATGTAGAGTTGGGTAGAAAAAAATGACATTATTATGGTTAATTTTAAAGGAGGCTGGGGAAAAAAATACTTTTTTTCAATTATGCGTATACTGTAAAAATTCAACTTGTCATTGAAAACCAAGTACGAAACTTGGGCTTTTTCTTTGTAGACAAAAAGTAATCTTTGAATATAAATCCAGGCATATTTCAGATGCATTTCTGTAGAATTGGAAAAAAATCCTTTCTGCCTAGAAAGAAACATTTTTTGAATATTTTTTTACCCATTTCTTCTTTATGATGAGCTTGCTTATGTAATGCCTCTTCCCCTAAAACCCTTTTAATCATATTCTTGCAGAACAGTCTATACATCCCAAACTTTTCCCAACAGTGCTAGAGCAAAAATGGACAATAGAAATCTTTCAAACAAATAATCAAGTTGAGCATGTGTTGATTTTAAATGCTCTATCCACTTGAATTTTTAATTCACTTTCAAGTCCCTTCTCTCTTAATTATCTGTTCAGATGGTAAGTGGTATTGAGGTCACGCTATTCTAAGACACTTATCCATGAAGTGCTGAGTTCACTTCTACTGCTGTATCAATTCCTATTATTATTAAGTCAGTGAAGTGGGCTTTTACACACTGATTTGGATGAGGTGAGGTACCTGAGTCTCAGAAACTGAATTCATTGCTCAAGAAAGAAAGCTATAGACTGAAAATCTGCTCTCTGAAGACAGTTTAATTTGAGGCATTGTGTCATATCATTATGAATTCCATATTTCATTTACTCACTGAAGCCCAAGTTACTCCTGTTAAAAACTGTCGTACTTATTGATGCATCAAGCTGCTTCACTCATCGAGTGGACTGACTGCTTTAGGCTGCTTCATCCATGGATTGGACTGACTACTTCAGGGGTTTTCTTTGCATTCTTCTTTAAGAAAGAGCTCTCTATTTTACAAAAGCTGGTTATTCTCCCAGAAAGCATTATGCTTCAGGAAAGTGATGTCTCAAATGGGGTACCAAAAATTAGCAGTCAAATATGAAAACCATATCTAAAACTGTGGCCATGTGCTTAAAAATTTATATTGCTTCCTGAATTGTGTTCATGTACAATCGATATGCTTTTGCAGGGATTAACTTGGGTTTTCTTTGGTGTAAGCAAAAGTTGAAAGGTGGGGAGGACTTAGGAGTTTTCTTGTAGGTACACTGCCATGGGCAGCATAACTCCTACTTGCTTTAAAGAATGCAGGTGAGAAAGATAATCTTGACATTTTCCACAAGCAGCTCAGCTATTCCACTCATCTTCCTCTTGAGCAATATAAATGGTACACATTATTCTATGTGCATATATCACTTAAAATCGACTATATATCAGTAAACATTACTATAATCCTAGCACATTATTGTTATTATTATTAATTATTATTATTATTATGTCTAAGCTTACATGTATACAGGCATGTACACAGCACGTTTCTGTGCGTAACAGTGAAAGAAGAAATTCCATACAGGTTTTTATACTGTTGGGTTTTTATCTTAAGGCATTTGAGGATCTGGTCCTTTTCATAGAGTGTTTTATTAGTTAAGGGTTGCAATCTTACATGGGTTAGTTGCTAACAAACATTGACTTCAATAAGACATTGCTTCTTTCCCATTTTCAGTTCATTAAAGTGTTTATCAAATGGAATTGTTCAGGGTAAGGTAATGCCAGAGTTAAAACAATATGTTCATTATATCATCTCTCACATAAAAATCTAAAGGACAATTTAAGTGGACTTCTTGGATGATGAAAGTTTCTGGAGTATACAGTATCAAATACTTACATTTATGTTAAGGCATATTGGTTGTTGATATTATTGGAATTGGTTAGAAAGAAATTAAAAGCATCAAAACAAGAGAGTAGCCTACTAAAATAAAAAAAATGAAAAATTTTCATATAAAAGTTTTTTTGACAACCAAACTGAAATAACGAATTTATTTCTAAGAAGGTTTAACTATATTTATCCTAGAATGATTCTAAATCCATTGAAGTCAAAGGCAGCTGTTCCACAAGTTCACTGAGTTTTGAGCTGAAATCTTACTGTGCCTTTATGTGTTATTTTCGTAACAGGAGGGACCATAGCAGTCTGGAAGGCAATTGAAAGAAAGAATGAAAATATTTATCTTAGGAAACATCCAAAATACCTTTGACAAAAAATATCCTGACATACCTTTAAAGATTTTGTATGCGATTTTGTACATTTGTAATTAAAAATGCAAATATAATAATTTTTATTCCACAAAACTACAAGAAATATGTGAAATGCATAATTCTGCAAACTGTACCTGCCAGTTAAAGATAACAGCAACATATTCTATTGCAGCAACATTTCATGGTAGATGAAAATCAAAGCTGAATAAGTCCATGTAACTTCTTAGCTAATTGCCTTGTACTGTAGAAAATGATTTTTTTTAATTTTTTAATTTTTTATTATTTTTTTTTTTACAGAGAAGTTAGTGATTTGAAAGGAAGTTAAGCAAAACAGAACTTACTCTGGAGGGTCAAAATAATATTTAAGTACAGAATAATGTTTAAAGAACAGCTGCAGCTTAGTATCCACCTGGCCTAAGCAGCAGTCATTGTAAATTACATTGAATGTCAATGATAATTACATAATAGTATAAACTTCATCTTGGTTTCTGTGTTCAATGTTTTAAACAGCAGTTCATCAGAAGTTTAGTGACAGTGTATCTATGCATATTTCATCACAGAATGAATGCAAAACATAGACCTTCTAAAAGCCTTAGTTTTGACCCTGTGTAAAGTTGTTCCACAACTCAGTGGAAATGCTAGCAATGCAGTATAAACACCACGAATGAGGTCAGTAACGGGTCCCTACACCACCACAGGTTATATTGTTAAAGAAACAAAAAGCAACCCTAAAGACAAGAAATACTTGCATGCAGTTAGCACTTGCAAAAGCTTTCCATTCCTGTAGCTATCTTTACACTATTTGACTCATTGTCATTAAAAACACAGTATTAGCCAGAACAGGTGGTATGGCGATTTCGCCACAGCACTGTCCTTTGTGAATAAGTGTCTTTCTCTATATCAACAAAATCTGTTTCAGAAAAATATATTATTGTGCTATAAGTAAATTCTCCTTCCCTTACATCTTGTTATCTACTCTCATTAAATTACCCCTTCTCTCAGTAGCTCACCAGTTCCCTCATTCACCTATCATTATGTCAGAGCTGATTGAGAAACATTGAAAAGTGCTGGACTTCAACCCTAGCCCAGCTTCTGCACTCCATCAATCAGCTCAGTAAATCTGTCAACCTGCCCTCATCTTCCAGCACCACCCCAGTTCAGCTCCATAAAGAATAGTTATTCCTTAGCTTCCTCACTTTACCCTGCAGTCTCTGAGAATCTACAGAAGTCCTCTTTATGCAATGAATCCAGAGAATAAACAAAAAAATCACTTCATGGCATCAAATAATCCTCACCCTTTCTACCTAAGTAAGCAATTTACTCCCCAGATTTTTTTTCCTTTAATTCAAAGGACTAACTATCTTGGACCATGATGCTTGACAAAGACAGAGCTTTCCCAGTTGGAGTACAAAGTGGATTTACAGGCAATAACTAGTGTGGTTTTTACCCTTTGCAAGATGTAAATGAAAATCTACACGTCGATTTAAAAGACCTCCATGATCATATGTTCTAAGATAAACAAGTCCTGTTTTTTTTTCAGTCAGCTACACACACTAGAAAAAGGGAATAAGGAAGCTTTTTGTGTGCATTTCATGCTTTCTTAATACGATCGCAAACATTTAAATTATTTGATCAGATCAACTCCTGTTATTATGAATGTTTTAATCCCAGCTCAGTGGAAAATATTTCTAGAGGAATTTCACTTTGCAATTATTTAATCATCCATAAATGCTGTTTTTCCAGGGACCTTGAAGCATTGTTGTTGAACTATATTATTATATCGATCCTCCAGACAGGAAAATACACAGTAGGGAAGCAAGGCTGAGAACCAGATGTTCTGGATTCCCCTCACATCCACTGCCTGTCTTCTCACTTTCTATGCGAATGCATTCATTCAAGGAAGAGGTAGCAAAGCCTTTCTCAAAAAGGAATGTAGCAATTTTTTTTTTAACATGCTTGGCTGGTGAGTAGAGTGCATAAATAAGGAAGGCTGCATGCAGCTTAAAACAGAGTAAAAGGTAGAAGAAGCTGAGGTTTAGAAAACTCCGGAGTTCATAATTGGCTGGATATTTACAATACTGCAGGAAAGCACTTTGTCTGACTGGTGCTTATTTCAGTTGTGCAGCTTGTGTGACCAGACAAAAGCTGGATCTTCTAAGGCAGGCATCCGCATCTAGAATAAGCAATGGTTATTTGCTGGTTTTACACAGCCCAAGATCTTTAAAATGGTGGCTTCCTCCCCCTCATGGCCAATGAAGATGCCTTGCCATTTTTCATGCAGTTCAGGTGTGGAGAGGGAAAGAAAAAAAAAGGTATCAGGAGTCATGAAGATTAACTGTTTTGGAAACAAAGATAAATACACCCTCCTAGAAATGAGGCAGAACAGGTGTTGAGTGTTGCACGTGCATTCTATATCAAAAGCAGTTGCTGAGTGGTATATGTAAAAGATTCATTTTAAGCCTAAGAATGCTGGTTTCAGTGAGCAGGTTGAAGTTTGGTCTCTTGTTTTTTATAAGTGTTTGAACTGCTTCTTTTATAAATATGTATATAAAAAAAAAAAAAGGATAATGTCTAAATGTTTGCAGATTCAGGTCCTAAAAAAGATCTTCCTGCCATTTTCAATCATACATACTCCACTGAAGAAATAAATACATCAATTATATAAATAATGGAACTATTAGGGTCCAAACTTACACACTGTGTTCTGTGTATTACTCTTGTTGAAGTTGCAGAACCTTCTATCACTGACCAGTTTCAGAACAACTCCATGCTGAAATCAGCAAATAAATAACAAAAGCAAAAAAAAAACCACAAAAAAGACAGAAACACAAAAATATTGTAAAATAATATCTTCAAAAAAACAGTTGGCAGGCAAAACACCTGTAATAACATACTGAAGAAGGAAAGGGACTGTCTTCACAACTTCAAATTAAAGCTCAGTTGTTTCATCTACTAAAGAAATAGAAATGCTGAATTTAAAGAGTTTAATAAAATTTATTTTATTCTAATTTGTCTTTTGACTTGTGCTGGTTTGTGAAGTTGTTACTTAGTTACTAAGGCCAATCCTATGTTTTGTCTTCCCAGGAAACTCCCATCTTCCTTATATTTGGAAATCATTGTTCAAATAAATTTCTACCATATTGACATCTAAGTGGATGCACTGTACATCTCCTGCATGATCTACCACTAATTCAGGCCTTCCTTACAAGAGAAACAGTTTATTTTACACATATCCAGAGCCCTTTAATGATTTCTGAGTGTATAATATCACATGATTAAGATTCAGAAAATGAAAACACTGCAAAAAATATCTGAAAGAAGACTTTTAATGTCTGTATCCAGACATCACTAAAGAGGGTCTTACACATACTTATGAATCAAATTTATTGCTGAGATATAAGCTAAGATTTTTAGCATCACTACATTTGAAATATAAAAGGTTTCACCAATTTTATAATGTTTTGTTTTATTTTTTTTAATTTAATGTATTGCATTTGAAGGCCTAAGTGAAATTTAGTCATTACAGGGACTCTATTATTCCCTTTAAAAAAAGGAAAATTGCCTTTGAAAAATGGCAAATGTATTGAAATCACATTTGCACTACTAAGTGCTGATTGCTAGGTTGTCTTGAATCAAACCAAATCACATGAACCACCCTGCTACTTCTCTGTCATTATCTCGTACTTAAGTCATCTACAATCTAAGAATAATTTTTAAAGATGAGAGATTTGTCTCTCCTATTTTTACATACCCACAATGTAGATGTTGGAGTGAGTCACTCTGAGATGAATACAGGAAAAGGGGAAAAAGGTAAAAAAAAAATAAGCACATTTCAATAACAGCTTCATTTGTCCTATTTTAGACCTCCAAATGTTTCACCTTCCAGGGTGCTTGCTGTTAGCAAGCATGCCAGAAAGGGACAGAGGGACTAGAAGCTTAGGGACTGCAGCTAGGAATATAAAATTTTGCCAGTGCTGCTCGTGGATATCTGGCCCCAAGGATGAGGAAGTTTCAAATACTTACAGATTTAGGGAAGGTTTCAAACTGCAGGGAAAAGGGACTCTCTGAAGTGAGTGGATGCAGCAATCTCAGCATAAAAGTTCAAGTGAGCAATTGGGGTCAAAGTCTCTGAAGACACTGGAAGGATCTGGTTGGTCAGCAGAGATGAAATGAGCTGTAACACCTTTCTGTTCCCAGTCTTCTCCAGGGATCCCTGGGGCAGAATTCCATCTGCCCTTGCCCTTATTTCTGGCCTTCTATCTTCTGACTGGAACACCATATGCAGTCCATGACTAGTTTGAAAACAACTAGTATAAGTAATCCTGCTTTTCAGCTTCCTAGAGTTATTTTTTTAAATTTTTATACTCCTGACAGAATTATGGATTTATAACACTGAGGACTACAGCAATTCAGTCTTTATTCCATAGGCAGATATATGCTGCATTGGATATTTCCTTCCGGTTGGAACTAGATGGTCTTAAGGTCCTTTGCAACCCTAACTATTCTATTGTATGCAAGAAACTGGGAAGGCTGTTGAGGTGAGAGCCCATCACTTAAGATCTAATGTCATTCATATAAGAGAAAGACCTTTAGGGCTTAATATTTTAAAACTAAATATTTTAATATATTTAAAATATATTCAGCTTCTAACTTTTTTTTTAAACTTTCTAACTTATATGTTAGAATATCAGAGCTGTGAACCAAGTATCCTCCATACTCACTAAGCTTAGAATGACTTGATTTCCCCAAAATTATAGAAAGAAACATGTATGATTGGTTAGAACAGTTTAAGAGTGTCACTGCTTTGATGTGTTTCCTACAACTCTGGACTTTGAGATTGCTGGCTGTGTACTTTGTAACATTAGTGTCACACGCCATATGACACTAGCATTATAGTTGCTAATAATAAGTAGCAGAAGTTCTTCATTAAGGTTCTTCATGAAAGGAAAGAGAAATCAAAACTTCTAATTTGCTGTTCTACAGAATTCTCTACTCAGCAAAGCAGACCATTATCAATTATATTTGTTTTATATTTTTATGAAACCTACCAAAGCAAAAATGCATATTTTCTTATGGTTTTGTAAATGCTGTAAATTACATAGTTTCAAAATGCAGTCCAACTGTTTTAAATGTCTGTTCAGAGTTACCTCATGGATAGCGTGGAAAGAAAGCAACTGAAACAGAGAGGAAAAGAACATGTGAAGTTACTTTAATCCAACAGGGCTCTGAAATTCAAGCCAGCCTTCCTTTCAGTAGCTATCATTGAAATACAAGGGCATATAGGGACAGGACGCAGGGGAATGGCTTTAAGCTGAAAGAGGGTAGATTTAGATTAGACATTAGGAAGAAATTCTTTACTGCACAAGGGTGGTGAGACACTGGCGCAGGTTGCCGAGAGAAGCTGTGGCTGCCCCATCACTGGCAGTGTTCAAGGCCAAGTTGGACTAGGGTTTGAGCAATCTGATCGAGTGGAAGGTGTCCCTGCCCATGGCAGGGGGTTGGAACTGGATGCATTTTAAGGTCCCTTCCAAACCAAACCATGCTATGATTCTACAGTTCTATGAAATACCAGCTATGAGTATTCTGTTATACTCCTCAGTAAGGTCAAACATCAACTATATATTCAAATTTACTTGCAAAAATAAATCATCTATTCTGGGAAAGCCTATCCATATAACTGTACATTTCAACACTGCCACAATATTGTTTATTGACCATGATTGTTCATTTAGCAGATTTTTCATTCTCTGAATTGCTTTTTTGGACATCTCACAGCACTGTGAGAGTTTTCCTGAGTTGACACTGTTCTCAAACTGGTAAATCTCAGTAATATTCTTCTGAGTAAATATGTCCATCAGATTAGACCCCATCATTAACAGACACTATCTTTGGCAGCCTGCAAACTAGTTTCATTGGGGTAATCACTATTTCTAATTTGTGTTTGTTAGGGTTTCCAGACTGTGTATTAACTTGACAGATAAAAGCCCTTTACTAGTCTTTAGGACCCTTTCATAGTCATTCAGAAATTGTTGTATGTATGCATAATATGTTTTCATTTCTGCTACCTGTTACTACAGGTCGTCACAACAAGCCGCTTTCCAAGCAAAAACATCCCTTGTTTTTTCATATGTTTCTTTCAACACTTAACTTACTGCTGTAGATTTTACTGAGCATGAGAATACTTCAGAAAACTGCTTTCACTTTTGTCATCTTATTTCCGGTAAGCCACTTTGATAAGACCGAGATCATATTTTCAGCACTGGTGGCCTCCTCCGTGTTTCTGTGACTTCAAGGGCACCTGCACACAAATGAAATGCACTCATGCTTCCCCCACT